ATTCTTTAAATTCCTTTTATGTAAAGAGTAGGAAAGGAATTATGGTAGGATTTCTGTACTGTCCTACCTGGTGACGTTTGCAATTATGTAACCTCAAGGCTCTGTGTAGTCCTCTGGAGTTGAAATCCTTGAACTATATTTATGACAGGTGAGTAAGGTTTGAACACTTAAATTTTGCTTCTGTTGATTTAAAATTGTAGGCTATGATGAAAACTGGCAATTAGCTCTGTCATCTTGGTGTCAGATCTAGGAGTCTCTCAGACCTATCTTAAAAATGGGAGTTGATTCATGTTTTATTTGTCTTTCTAGTCACTAGAAATAAGAGCACACGTTTGTTTTTTCCTTGCACTGAGTTAGGTGCCAGTAGTAGAAATAATACTGCGTGATTTCCTTTGGTGTGGATACACTTTATGTGAACTTTGGAAGCTCTGTAAACAAACAAGATAAATTATATAAACATTTAAGATTGAGTTACCAATACAGCCGTATTGTGTTTTCACCATTCCTTTTTCCAGGCTCCTTCACAGTCTTAAAACGCCCTGAAGACCCCCTGTTTCTCTTTGCTTCAACTCACTTACAGACCCTTTTCACCATGGATGTTGTCATTCCCACTGACAGCTGTTAGATGGGGTTCAGAAGCAAATCCCACATAGAATAAACTCTTACAAAACTTGGACTACAGACTTCAAGCCTGTCTCATCATTGAACAGAGTCATATTTGAACGGGGAGCCTGTAGCTGAACAAGTGACAAGAAACATGTTGGTCTTCACAAAAATGAAACGATTGTATGAAAGATCTCAGCTTCTTCTTTGCCTTTTTAAGTCCTTTTTCATAGATATTCTTTGCCTTTGTTTTCCCAACTGATCTTCTCGGCAGTGTTTCTGTTTTGACATGTTGCAGCTGAAGATCAGATAGTCTTGCTCTTTTGTTTGTATTTTTGGGCATCATCTTTGCTGTCTGCCTATATCCATTTATAAAAGTCCTGATAACCTAAATTATCAGGATAACCTAAATTATCAGATTTAGCAGAATGTACATCTGCATCTTTTAAAAACTATGGTTTTTAAAACTTGCTGTTTTTCCTTGGACTCCCACTCCACTGGCAGTATCACAAACTTAACATGTAGAAATAAGCTGGTCTATATAAAATGAGGAGCTTTTGGGTTTTTTTCCCCTCTCGGGTTAAAATAATGTAGCGGTGGTGGTTAGTAGAAAAGCACAGAGCCAATTTAAAATCATTTAATATACTGATCATGGTGTGGTGTGTTCACCTTGGCCAGCAGCCAGACACCCACCCACCTGCTCGCTCACTCTCCCTCCTCAACAGGACAGGGGAGACAATACGATGGCAAGGCTCAGCTGTCGAAATAAAGTCAGGGAGACTGGTCACCAGTTACTGTCATGGGCAGAGCTTGGGGAAAATTAATTTAATTTGCTGCCAATTAAAATAGATTTGCGTAGTGAAAAACAAAAGCAAATTGAAACATGTTCCCCCCCATCTTCTCCCCCTTCTTCCCAGGCTTGACTTCAGTCCTTCATTCCTGAGTCATCCACCTCCCTCCCCACCCCGAGCGGCGCAGGAGGATGGGGATGGGGGCTTGCAGTCAGTTCATAGCAGCTCCTCTCTGCTGGTCCTTCCTCCTCACACTTTTCCATTGCTCTAGCGTGGGTCCTGCCCATGGTCTGCAGTGCAGAATCTTTATCTATTTGCATGTTCAACTGTTCTTGCTTAGGGCTTTATAATTTAATTTCTTTGTAAAAGAACCTGAAATCGAACAATGGATAAGGTATCAAATTAAGCCGTTTAACAGCTGGAAGTTGTGCTATTGCCAGCAAAATAGTAACAATTTGAATACAGCAGAGTTGCCTTTTTCTATCTGTTTTGAATTGTAAAAGCATTAGTACATTAGACTTTCTGCCTAGTTTTGCTTTGCTTTGTTCTTTCAGTATTTCTAGCAAATTAAAAATGGAAATGTAGCCAAGCAATTCTCTAAAGGTCACTCATCTCATTTTAAAGTTAAATGAAACATTTACCCTAGAAATGTTTTACATGTGAATATTTACATATAGCTTGTTATTCTTTTTTTTTTTAAAAAAAACAATCAAATCTGAAACTGATTTGGTTCCTTTCATTATGGATTTTTTACCAAAAATTATATTAGGCATGGTATTCACTTATTAGCATTACATTATTGTGCAGATACTTCCAGGAGGTGTTTGTTGATGAGACTGGCGAACACGACCCTCCTACCACCAGCTTACTCCCTTATTGCAAATAAGAGTTCTTCCAAAAAGGGTAAATCTGACTCCAAATAAAAATTAAACTTTCATTCCATAAAACGTTCGCCATCATCGCTGCAGCAGGTGGAAATAAGAATGATCTGGTGGTTTTTTCTCAGTTGAAGAGCTGAGTCCCGTGGCACGCAGGGTGACGTGCTCGGACCAGCCCCAAAAGAGCTGGCTGGGGCGCCGGCAGCGGGGCTGCGAAAGCCAGGCTGCCACCCTGTGCTGGGGAAAAAAGAAAGTTGCGTCGGTGCTCGGAGCCGGTGCTGCCTGCTCTTACTGCGTGTGACGCTGCTGGCAGCGCGGCTCAGCGCAGGGATCCGCTTCCCCAGACAGATGGGACACAACTGTCTTTAGCCATGGCATAAGTTACCCAAATCACAGATTGCACTGCCAAGGGAATCTCTGTCTCGATCAAGTACTTTGGGCTCAAAAGGAGGCGTTCCTATAATCATCTGTCAAACCAGTCGCATTTCTCCATGAAACTCTCCTTGGCTCCTGGCACAGAACTGATGAAAAGTTAGGTGTTGTCTGATTAATGTTTTTAGCATTTGCTTCTGCCTTTCCTGCCTGGCTGCATCTGCGGTTGTCTCTTGCATTATCTACCCCAAATTATAAAATCTTCGGAGAATGCATCATCTCTTCACCTGGTGGGGCTTCCCCCAGCCACCTTCTCAGCTCCGGCCGCCTCCTTCTGATGCGTTTCCTCCCTTTGTAGGAAATTCCTTCAGTGTCATCACTTTGAGAGCTGGCCTTTTGCAGCATTTTGTTTTTAAAATGTACCACTTAGTAACTAATCTCAAATGAGAGCAAGGCAAGTCTGTTATATAGTTATATATAATGAATTGTGGTACGAACAAAGAATGTGCATAAAACGGTCCTTCTTTGGGTCAGTTTTGTGCATAGCATTTCTCTTGTGAAGTTGCTTTGGGTAAAGCAAGAAACTAAGGTTTTGATTTGTGAAATTAAGTGAAAGACAGGAATATAACTGCTTGGTAGAGAAAACCAAAGACAAAATTAGTAATAACTGTAGTTTGGCAATAAAATGATTGACTGATTTTAAAAAAAAAAAAAAAATCAAATGGAAAGCATTTGTGTGGTGCCAAAACTGAAGTTATCTATTATAACTCTGGTACAGATTCATATAAAATTAGGAAAAACTCTCTCATACCACATATCTTTAACTTTTGCCTTTACATGCATATACATTCCTTACACTTCCTCAGAGCATTTACTTATTGATGGGGCCTTTGTTAAGACAAGAGAATTGGATTATATATTATGCGAAAGACATTCTCGTATTACTATCACATCACTGTATTGCTTAAGCTCTCAGCATGAATTTGAATTTCATATATATTTTTTAGAAACATGCTTTATTTTCAGGTAAAAGTTTGGAAAAGCAGCTATTTTGTAATTCTGACAATCCAGATCATTCAGGATGACCTAAGGAGAAATATTATTTGAAAATTAAACTTCACGCTTAGCCTTTTCCATTTGTGGCTTCCCTTCTCTTTGCAGAGAAAGGATGTACAAAGATAGTTTCTATGGGTTTAGGAAACAGATGATAGCACACAAAGCCCTGTTTTTATATGCACTGTGGTGTTTTGATTTTTAATTAGTGGTGTTTTTTGAAAACTTCAAAGCAGGTTAGTAGAGGGGTGAGCTCAGATAGTGTTTGATGTCAGCAAGTGAAAATGGAAGAGGGTTGTCTGCCCCTTATTGTGTGTGTGAGGGGTGGGGGACTGTATATATTTATTTGAAATTTTCTTAGTTGGTCTTCAAATGAGGAAAAAAAAAAAAAAGAGGAAAACGTTATCTAATCAAAGCTGCTCAGTCAACTAATGACGTCAAGCAGTAGCCTTCTCCTTCTCACCATATTTCCTTTGGACTGTAAACTATTTAATACAGCTAGAAATTACCTCATCCATCATAGCGATGTAGCCCTTTTCTGTGTTTCGGTACGTGGTGGGTTTATCAGCGCTGGGCATGGGAAGAATGTGAAGAATAATACCCTCTTTAATTGAATTTGCGGGTTGGAATGTGGGGAGGAAGAACATCCCGTGCTGGCGCCTGGCCAGCGCCCCGGGTCGTCAGCCTCCTGCTAATGAAAAATGCTTTAATGACTGCACCGACCAGGTGCCAGGATACAAAATACGCGTGTTCGGTATCGTACTTGTGTCTAACGTGGGTTTTGAGCTACGGCAGTAACTTAACATAGGGACACGACCTGCATGTGGTCTTGCTCTGTGCTGACTTGACTGCTGCGTGTGAGAAAGATGAGCTCTGCTTGAGTGCGTCAGGGGGTGAGAGTGGGTGTCAGGCGTTATCGTGGAGAAATAAAAGCACTTCTTACCTTGTGGTGGTTTGTTCATATGACCTTGCTGTTAGAAAGAATAATTTTGCCTTCTGATGTCGTTGTCAGCAGCACGTCGCTTTTTCCTGCTGTTTCCAGGAAAAGTAATGGTGCTACTTAGGGTATTCAGAGGTGACCTGATGTGCACACGGGTAATTAGAGCAGGTGTAATTTTAAATTCAGGTTTTGTAAAGAATAGTGTGGCATCGCTTTTCTGAAAGGAAAGCTGATAATTGTCAAATATTTAAAAATTAGCAGTAAAATTGCAGTTGGCAAGTCCTTGCAGTAGCAATATTTTTTTTTTCCTTGTTGCTTATGCCAGTCTAGAACATGAGTGTCATACATTTGTTTTTTCCTCAGAATATGGCGGCATGGGCTTGGACTTCTCCTATAACATTGCAGTGGCAGAAGAGCTGGGAAATATCCGCTGCGGAGGTATTCCTATGGCTATTGGAGTGCAAGCTGGCATGGCTACTCCTGCTCTTACAAGGTAATTTTCAGAAAGTTTGGTTTAGCCTAAAACCCAAATTGTCATGTGTTTAGGCCTAAAACCCAATCTGTATAAGAGTAGAAAAAAACATTACTGTGCCGATTTACTGTCTAGTTGCTCTTCAGTAATGCTTGAGGAAGGAACCTACTCTCTACCTCTCTCAGACAGTTTGGTTTTACTGGAGAAAATAAATTTTCTGGTTTTAATGTTAGAATATTATATATTAAAACATAGGCCTTGTTTAATAGTAGGTGATATGTTTACAAACACAGAACCTTGGTGCCACAACCAATAAAACAATTTTAGTTCCAGAATCCCTCTATTCACGTTTGTGTTTTTTCTTAGCCAGATATTCCAGTGCACTCATACTAAGGATGCATTTAGTTGTAATGATTAAGGGCAGTCTAATTCTATTTTATAATTTACCTGCTTTTTTCCAGCTTTACAAGGTGCTCCTCGCTGACTATGACTTTTCAGAAATAAAAAGTGGTGTAAGTCCTAAAGTTATAGCACATGTATCATGCTTCCTAAATACGCCCATTCCAGGCAATTACTCATTTTGCTTTTTCTCCTCTGCTTGTTTCAGTGTTCCCCTTTTATCACTTGCTATCATTCAGGCTCCATCAGTTTCTGAATCTGTTTTGTTTTTTCTTTTTCCTCCCTCAATAAAAGTGTCAGTTACAACTTCTTCTTCATGTAATAGTTTCACAGACATTCTGCATCAAAACAGCAGTTTGCAAAACTAGAGGAAGGCGACAGGCTGGTCCAGCAGTTTGCCCCTGGAATATGGATATGCCTAAAATTCTGGAAGGTGGCGGTGGGGATTAAATTCAGATACTGATGATGAAGTCAGGAATTTCTCTGCACAAAACAGATATACAAGAGGGGAATTTTTGCATAGGAAGAGCATTTTAGGGTTGGGTTGTTTGTTGGTGTGGGGTTTTTTCCCCCATCCTGAATGAAAATGCCTGTAAATCCGCTGTAGAATGTAGGCTCTGTTCCCTTGACATCCATTTATCCTTCTGCTAGGTATGTGCGACTTCAGCCAGGGAAATCTTTCTAAAAGTTTTCTTCTCCTTTGTGTTATACACCAAAAGCTTGCTGAAAGCATGGAGTTCAGTGTGTCTGTTGCAACAGGAGCTTGGTTATAGTCCAACCAAGAATAAAATTAGTATTTTAAAAGACTTCAGAGAATACTACCTTGCCCCCATGACAGCCTTTTATTCCCAGGGGTTTAAAAAAATCTGTGGGTAAAAGAAGTCGGGATTTTGTTCCATTGCAGTTTTTTGGCCTTCTGCTACTCTGTTCTGCTGTAGTAAAGCAGTGAAGCTACATACATTTGTGCTAGTGAAATCCTAAAGTGGATGTTCTTGGAAAGTAAATGTGAAAATGTTGTTAACATGATGAAATCTGTAATTGAATTTGCATCTGTATTAGTGAACTTTTCCTCCACTTTTAAGTCAATTCCACTGACTAGTGATACAGTACAGTGTCCCACTCTTAAGATGTAAAAGTGAAACTTGGTAATGAAAAGAGAAAGCTGGTTGCAACACAGGTGCAGCTTTACTTCATGCAGTGTAGTGGGAGGGCTAACTGCTCGTCCTGGGTCATGGATTCGAATTGCATTCACAGCCTGGATGGTTTCTTTAAAGGTACCTGTGTACTGTGGTGATCCTAAACGAGTTCAAAGAGATAATCCAAATTTTGCATCTTAACTATGCATTGTTACACATGATGCATCAGCAGTGCACAAAGTAAACAGTAATACGGGAATTGACCATCATCCCCTAAAAAGCTTTTTAAAAGAAGTCTGGAGCCCTTTGTTGGCTTTCCGAACTTTGGGCTTTATTCAGCATTCATCGAGCACCTGCAAACCAACTCAGTGAATGTGATACGTCATGAACATGCTTTGCCACTATAAATTAGAGATGTTCCTTCAATTAGATATATAGACAGAGCGGTAGTTTGAACAGATGAGTACACATATTCACACACACAGAGCTTTTTAAATTTTCATACTTTGGAAAAATAAAGTCTTAAAAGGTCTAGAGTCAGGATGCCTCTTGATGCTGTTTCTGCAACTTCCAGGGGTGTTTTGCTTCAGTGACAAGCTGTTGCAAGGTTTAGTTTATGAAGGTCTTTGAGATACTCAAAGTTAAATGGCAAGTATGTTGTAGTAACAGTTTTAATGATATAAACAATAAGATTTGAAAATGTTACCTCTATCAGTTTGCCTGTTCATTGTTCCTGCCTTTTTTTACTTCATTCTTTATGGTTTTTTTTTTACAACCTTCAGAAAGTTATATTCATGGTCATACTTGGAAGCAACCCTGCAGATTTTGATTTATATGCATTTCTATTGTACAGACAAATATAGGAGAAAATAGTTTTGTTTCACTTGAAGATGCCCAGACTGCTCCATTTCTTTTCCCAGATTCCTCTAAGTGAAGCAATAGCACTTCCTAAATTTGAGAACTAAATGCATAATGTTTTGTCAGCAGTGATTTGACCTTTGATGTCCCTGGTTCTGAACGTAACTCTCTGTCAGGTCTTTCAAATGCATTCAGATACAATACTTCACTTGCTTTCATGCTTGGAAGTAGAGTCTAGAAAGCAGCTCTCAGCTGAGGCAGTGAATGACAAACCTATAGGGTGACACATCCCCAGCGATACCAGATCAGCGTAGAGCTCCTTTATCTCGGCAGTAGGCAGTAAACTTTCCTTTTCTTCCCGCCCCTCCTCCCCCACACCCTCCCCATTATTTATAGGAAAACAGTGAGGATAATGATGATTATTTAGTGGGAAGAGAGTGCTTTTCTATTTCATCAGTTTACTCGTCGCTGATTCTTTCTCCACCCTGAACAGCAGCATACCTGCGAATTAATGTCCAAAAAGTTAGTTTTACTGTCTTTTTTCCTGTTTGCTGCAAAGGAGAGAGGCTGCAGCTGACAATCAGAACAGCAGTTTTGAAAAGCAGGATCATTCACTTGATCAGTTGGGAAATGGGTGAAAATGGGAAGAGGTCAGTCAAGAGCCGAGTGGCTTTCCCAGTGGCATAGCATGAGGGAAGCTTGGTTTTGTGCTTCTTCAAGAACAGACATCCCGAGTTGTCTCATTCTCACATTCGGTACTTAATTTGTATAGTGCGCGTAAGGTAGGCCAGGTCTTGCCCTGAGCCAGAGCGGAGAGTGTTACAGATGCAGCTTTCAACATATCGTTAAAAAAAGTATCATTAAGCATTGCTGTCATGATGGCTAGTTATGTTACATCCATAGCCAGCTGTGCTGCTTTGTGGGCTTGAATACCTGTGAGGGTCTAACCTGGCCAGAGCAATGTGGTGGGGCAATATGAAGTCAAGCAGCTGCTTCTGAAGTAGCTTTCCTCAGAACAGTTTCACACTGTTCCTATACCTGTGAGGTTTCTCCAGCTCCTGGTGACAGCCTGGCCATGCGACGGTGGCCGGTTGTCTGGTGGGCAGCCTTGAGGTCTCCAGAGCTGGTGTGGTAGCAGCAGGACAGCAGCCACAGGAGTAGCTCTTAAAAACTGCATGATCTAAAGAGGGTAATCTTTAATGACTCCTCTTTTACAATACCTGCGTTTTAGTGCAAAATGCATTCCTAAATAAATAGAAGATTGACATAATCATTCTTAACCAAAACCTATCTGCATGAGGTAGTCATCTCCATCAGGTAGTCTCATACAGGCTTCTCATCTGTATTCTTTTCAGAATGTAGCAGTAACTCGAAGTGAGCAATTTATTTTGTAAAATCTTCAAATAACTGAAGCTTAAAGGCTTGATAAAAACTGGGAGCCAGAGAGCACTTTTCTTACTGCTTTTTTTCTTATGCTATCTTTCACAAAAAGTAAATAAGTTTTCTAAATATGGGTTTTTTAGACTCGCCTGTCTTCTTATCTTGACTGAAATAGGGACTCAAGGAGAGAAAGCTGATTGCAGTGTGGAGTCTTTTAAATCCAGCTTATGTAAATTACTGAACTTAATGAGGCTTCCATGCTGCCCAAGGGTGCTTGCTGCTGTTCACCATGCATTTCTAGCCCTTTCTATGCCTGTAAAGAGCATCGCTTCCCTTTCATTTTTTCATGCTGCTCTTCCTGTATCTCGAAGATCCAAGGAGTACTGCTAAGCTGGACTGGGACATCAGATGGTAGGATGCAGGACTACACCGAAGCAAGAGCGTGGCACGAGGCTACTGCGTTATTAATAGTTTGAGCCTAGGAGCAGAACAGAAAGAGAATTGGGAGACATTAAACTTTTGCTAGTATGTAAGAAGGAAAGTGACAGTAGGTCAGTTACCCTCTTCTTTGCATAAAGGAAATCATCTTTATATTCCTAGGAAGTCCATGAGTAAACTATTGTGTCATCTTTGAGATAGTGTAGAATAATGCATAGATCATCTGAAAACTTTTCTTTTTTTTTTTTCCTTTGGTGGTGAATAGTGCTCGAATGTGTGAGCTCCAGTGCAAGAAAGCTTGAGTTGATCAAATGCTGAGAGCCGTGTTAGAACTGCCCGCAGCTGTTCATATTCAGAATTTCAATTTGCACTTAATAGTGTATCATACTAGTGTATCTGTCAGTTCTACTCAGAACTTTCCTTACTACCTTACTTAATTCACTTCAGCTCAGCTTTTTTCCCCAGAAGTAAAAGAAACAAAAGTGAGTAAGATGTGCAGTTCTACTGAGATGATTATCAGCCCAATTAAGTCAGAATAGTGATGTATGATAGACATATTTTCATTCAATGTAGCAATCTAACCTGTCAGAAACCAGATTTTTATATATATTTGAGAGGAATAAAGGTGACTTCAAATTTCTAATTGGCAGAGCACATAAACAGAACTGTGTTCTGATCAAGGAGGTGTTCTTACATCTGTATTTTGCCATGGTTTTATTTTCCTTTTACCCACCACTTACAAGATTGTATAGCATTGACATTTTTGTGTTTGTATTCATGACATTTCACCAACATTACTTATAAAGTGTGGAGCAAGAAAGGACTTTCGTGCAACTCTAAATGTGTCAGAATCTCACACTTTGGACTTCTGGGTTGCCCAGCATCAACAAGGAGCTCTGGTTTATTGACTGCAGACTCGTGTGTGTATGTGTGTATACATACACACATGCATGAAAATATATTTTAAAGCGATGCTAAGGCTGCACAGTTAATCACATGGGAAACTATGCTGTGGGGTATGGCCCCGGCCCAGAAAGCAGAGAGAGTCTGGTCTGTCTTGAGCCAGAGCATGATCTCATTGCGAACGGAGTTTTCTAATTCTGGAGCTGTGAAACTGGGAAGAAGTGGGTGTTGCATTTATGCAAACCTGAGATTTTTCTGGGATGCATTTAAAATGGGTAGAATTTTACAGAAACAGCATATTTCTAACACAATAGCTAGCTGCTTGCTAGGCTGCATGTCCTTCCTGCAGGGCATAAAGACCCATCTTGGGAAGATAGTGTTGCCAGACTTCTTTTTTAATTGCAAAATAACTTCTTCTGTAGCCTCATTTTTGGGAAGAGCTGAACTGTTTTCTGGAACTTAAACCAAACAAACAAAGATATCAAACCAAAAACATTATTCTGAGGAAAGCTTTTGTCATGGAAATCCTCTGTTGAAATAACTAAAGGTCAGCAATGTTCTAAGTATCAGAAAGCATTGCCAAAAATCCCGCTAGCTCCTCTCATAATCTGATTTTTCATGTTGTTGGTTGGGGCTTTTTTATCTAATGAATGTTCAGCTGGCCATACTTGATCATGTCCCAAGGAAAAGAAAAAAAAAAAAAAAGTACACTGCATAACAGACACGGTGACTTTGTCCCAGTATGCTGGAGGAAGGAGTAAACACTCCAAGCTCGCTTCTTGCATTTATTTGGGATTGCTGCCATGATTATCAGCAGGGACAGGACTAGGAATTGAGCTCCCCATGTGCACAAAGTGAAGGTGCCTGCCAGCTCCCAGTCTGTTCTCTGGCAGTCCCATGTCCTTTGGCTGTTTTGTGTCAGGGTTGGAGTGGAGGGGAAGAGACAGAGCCTTAGCTAAAGTGGCATCACTCCTTTGGAAATACCGGGACAGTGTTGTAAAAGGAGGGCCCAGGTAACTGCAGCCTGCTTAGGCAGCCAGCGAGCCTCAGGAGATGAGTGGAGATGCTGACCTCCTCATACCGAAGAGGAGGCTGAGGAGGAACTTGACTTGTATGGATTTCTGCTCACGGAAGAGACATCTCATGACCCGAGGAATTTTCCAGTCTAGCACAAGAGAGGTTCAAGAACTAGACCACGAGCTCACCATTCACGCTGCAAGACCAAATCGGTGAATGTTAATTAGGACAAAATTAACCGTGAAATGACATGGACCATGTTTTGAATCGATGAAAGCAGCTAAACGTTGGAAAAAAAGAGGGTGTCTCTTAACTGAATTGAAATACGGCCAAGTGAATTTTTTGTGTTAAAATGCCGTCAACAGTTTGCTGTTTCCCTTTTTATTTTTGTGGGGACTAAAAGAACGGCTGGGAAGAAGCGCTAACGGATTTCACTGTGTGATTTAAATGCAGATGTGAAATATTAATAATGTAAATAAAGATATTTGCAGAGGGTGGCCATCAGATGTCATAACTTTTCAGTCACCGCTAAAACCTGGCAAAGAGCTGGTGCAACAGTGAGAAGATGTGCAGAGCAGGTCCTCCATCCTGTCTGACTGCAGGCTGGTGCAGGAGCATTGAGGGGAGATCCCAGGGATCACATTTATTTAGATCTGATAGCTCTCAAAACAAGAGTCATAAAGATCAGATTTTGGGCATCTAGACCACATGTTTCTGTGGGAGTAAGATGCCCAAATACTTGTAAAAACCTTGTTTAAAATGATTGTGGCTGCACTTCTGGTGAAGGCTCTGAATCATAGATTTGGAGGGTATCTATTCTGTCTTTTGGCTCTGGGACAGGTTTTACCTAGTCATAGGAAAATTGATCACTGTGTGGGTAGAACAAAATTTGTAACTAATTTGTAAATAAATACCTTCAGAAGCTTTTAATATCCTATCTTTTTCATTATATTGTTGCAGGTTTGGTTCTGATGAGTTGAAAAAACAGTTCCTCGTACCAACTATAGCTGGAGATCTTGTGGTTTGCTTGGGAGTCAGTGAAGCTGGAGCTGGGTCAGATGTCGCAAGTAAGTTAACCTAGCAAATTGCCAATTTTAGACAGCCTGGTATTTTAATGGAAAGAATCTGGTTTCCCTGACCCTTCCCTTTGCCACTATCATTTGTAAGAAATACAAAGGAAGGAAAGTCTGGCGTGGCAAGGGCAAAAAGTAATATTCCAGGAGCAGTAACGCATGCCTCTGATGCATCTAAAAGCAATCAAATTGAATGTGTTTGTCCGTGAATCAATAGCTATGACCCTGTGTAGGCTGAGCACAGCAGGTTAATATGCAGCTGTCATGCTGGCCTTGGAATTCTCCTAGTGTTTGTCCTGCTGCTGCTGCTGCCTCTGCTGCTCTGTGGGACTCACCACTGGCAGGGAGCACTCCGGCACCGCCTGTAGCTGCACAGCCACCGTCAGTTGTGCAAACCTGCAGACGTACATGCTGGGAGTGTGACCTGTTCAACTGTACTAAAACTTGCACTTCCTTAAAACAGACCTCTCCACTGAACATGGGCGAATTGCAGAGCTAGTCCACTCTGAAAACGATGGCGTCACTTTGACAATGGGTTCCTCTTGCTCATTCTTACCTCACCTCAGCCCCTCCCGTCGTTCCTGTGCAGCAAAAATGTCTCTGAACTGGTGGTTGTTTTATTTAGAGCTAAAGAACAATTTGCCACGTCAAATCTATTAGCTTTGCGATTTAGTTACTTTGCATGCAACTATTTCCTCGTTTTAGTGCAAGAATATGTTTAAAAACGTGGACAAATTAAACTATTATTCTGAAGTGCCTGAGGCAGTAGATAATTTGAAGAATTAAATTAGAACAGGTATTGTAGAAAAAGTAAAAGATATCTCACCTGACTGTGATCGTGGACTTCAAGGAAAAGGGAATGAGAAGAAACCACTTTTAGAGGTTTTGTTGTTGGACACAGGATGGCTAAGTTGAACACATTGTGCTCCTACAAATTACCGAGACAACGTCTTCCTGCAGACAAAATCACTGAGTTTGACAGAAGTTTTTTGATCAGCAGAGTCCTATGTCCACCTCCTTGACCAAACTTACGTTGTTTTCTCAAGACAAATAGGTAATTATTCAGTGTCAGAGCAAGGGTGCAGCAGGTAGTTTTCAAGAGAGTTAATGGGGATAATGAAATAATGGGACTAAATCTTCCTGCATGATCCATTGCTGTTTTCCTTTCTAGTTAATTGATTTTGTTCATAAGAAAAAATCCATAATTTGTAGAGACTTGTTTTTCATTAAAATAATTTGAAATTTGAATTTTTCTAATGTAGGAAATACAACATCATTTATTTTGCTAATGTAGGATATACAACATCATTTATTTTAATTAATGCCTCTCTAGTTTAATTAGATGATTATCAGAACTTTCTAAATATGATTTTAATTTTTGATGCAGTGTTCCAGATAATAAGTAACATAAATATTCTTTTAGCTGCATGTTGTTTATCATCTAGTTTAATTGGTATGATACACTTGGATTAATACAGTTAAAGAGAAATTTGGAATCAACTAGGATTATCTGGTGAACCCAGGCTGCAGCTGGGAGGGAGACTGCAGGATGAAATGATTATACTTTTTCACTTGTCACGGAGGATCTGGTCCCTGGTATAAATCCAGAAACCAGCTTACAATGCTTCTAAAGGGTAATTAAATGGACAACTTCGGCATAAGCAGCACTAGCTTATGTTCTGAGTACCACTGGTTTGCACGAGGCAGAAAGAACATGCCATCTCCAGGTGGCCCCACTTTAAAGTAGACTGAACTGCCTGAAACTGCACTGGATACTTCCTTTGGTTTCTCAGGCTATTGGGATGTTTGTCTCCCTTAGATAAGTGAAGGGGTAGTTAAGCATAGCAGCTGTTCACATGTAAAGGTTGGGGAACGTGCTTCTGCCATGTGAGCCGGTATATTTTAAACTGAAGAATGACACAGAGTAAGGTATCTCTAGCATTTTCTTCTGCCAGTTCCAAAATTGCTGAAGGTGAGGATAACACAGAAGAAAAAAAAGTGTTTCTCTACATGAGAAGTGAACATTTCCTTTTTCTTCAAGTTACGTCTTCCAGGCAACTGCACCAAGTAACCCTGTTCATGTCTACCTCTTCAACACAGATATCTTGCCCCATTTTGTCTCAATGGAATCCAGTCTTTCTGCTTTTCTGGGTTTAGGTCATCTTTTTTGAGCATGAAAAACCAAAAGGAAGGACACTGAGGTGCTGGAGCGTGTCCAGAGAAGGGCAACGAAGCTGTTGAAGGGTCTAGAGAACAAGTCTTATGAGGAGCGGCTGAGGGAACTGGGGCTGTTTAGCCTGGAGAAGAGGAGGCTGAGGGGAGCCCTCATCTCACTCTACAACTACCTGAAAGGAGGTTGTAGCGAGGGGGGGGTTGGTCTCTTCTCCCAAGTAACAAGCGATAGGACGAGAGGAAATGGCCTCAAGTTGCGCCAAGGGAGGTTTAGACTGGACATCAGGAAAAACTTCTTTACTGAAAGAGTGGTCAGGCCTTGGAACAGGCTGCCCAGGGAAGTGGTTGAGTCACCATCCCTGGAAGTATGTAAAAGACGTGTAGATGAGGCGCTTAGGGACATGGTTTAGTGGGCATGATGGTGTTGGGTTAACAGTTGGACTTGATGATCTTAGAGGTCTTTTCCAACCTCAATGATTCTATGATTCTATGAAAATTGTACATAGTGTCTATAATGGCACAAATACTTCTCCAACCCTAATAGAATTATTATCCTCCAATATGTAATGTTACACAACAGTTTGCTGGCTTGTGAATCGTGTGATTAACTATACAGATCATCTTCATTAGCGGTTTGCTATTGAAACATTGTAAGATACAGCAATCATTCTTACTACTTTGTGCCTAAATACTTGTACTTGCCATGTTGAATTTGAAAACTCAAGATTATTCCTTTCTGGGCGATACCTCAGTTGTCTGTATTGGTGATGTCTCCCAAGTTTGTGTCACCAGCAAATTTCATTAGTGGATTCCTATTCTTCTTTTAAAGATCATTAATGGAAATATTCAATAGGTTTTGTCCAAAGGCTGATATCCAAGGAGGAGCTCCAATAGTACCCTCCCTGCACATCGACACTTCCTCTTTTAATGCAACCTGATGCAATTTCCCCTTTGCCAAGTTCCTTACCCACATTTCCACTTTTGTCCTAATTCTTATCTTTTCAAAATTTTAACTCATAGTTACCTAGTAGCACCAATTTTAGTTTGCTTGGGTTCGGCAGGAGTTTTCCTGTTCTGCTTTTCTCTGGAAAATCCTTTTTCATAATAAACAAATCCAGTTGGTTTTAAATAAGATACCACTGGTAAATTGAATTCTTTTCTTTCCAAATGTATTCTGAGGCTGTGCAGATTGCCAAAACCAACAACCTCTGTTGTCACTAATTTTAGTTGCTGTACAGTCCTTCCTGTAGATGTCTGGCTTTGTCAGCTATATTGTGAATCATTTTGTAATCTCATGTGAAATATTTCTTTAGTTTTGAGGCATCCTCTATATGCCTCATCTTTTTTCCCATTCTCTTTTCATTTCTGTGGCTAAAACGTTTTTGTTTGCCGCCTCAATCTTCTTCGATTTTGTTGGTTTTCATCTACAAGATTTAACTTGGTTTGACCTGTGGCAGTTCTTACCTTCTGACCTCCAAACTGTAGCTTACTTTGATGATTAATCTCTTTCCTTTCCTGTAGGCCATCTCCTGTTTTTTGAAGTGATTGTTCATTCAGTTAGACTTGAAGCTATTTCATGCAAGTTTTGGGGTTTTTTTCCTGTGCTGATAATGTACATTCCAGATATGTGTTCTTCATTTTTTACTTTAAGGATATGCGTTGCCTCTCTTTGATCATAATATTGACCTTAAAAGTTGAAGCCAACCTTCCCTTTTGTCAAATCTATTTAGATGCATAGCTGGACTCAAGAGCACAGTGGAGAAGAAAACTTGAGGCTCAAGTATGTTGTGATTTGAATAGCGAAGCCACCACCCCTGGTTGCTTATATGGCACTAGCCGTATCATATGCCTTTCGATGATGCCTTGTGGTCTTTCCTAGAAGGGGCCCTCAGAGCACGCTCTGTAAGTTGTTCAGTTATGGGCACTACAGGGCCAGTGGTGTGGACCTGCCAAAAATGAGTTATGGAGCACCCACTGAAGTAACCTTTTCCCAGAGCTATGCTCTGTCAGAGAGAATAATTACAGTCAAATATATCAAATTATCTTCATAGCCATATCCCTGAGACTGAGTCCACTTGACTTCAGTAAACTGTTAAGTAGGTTTTCGAAGCCTGCTGTATTTTAAACATAAAACTTACTTATTGACTTGATCATCTATCTTCTGATTAAAGAGAATCAACTCTTCATAAGTTAATTTAAAATAGTCATTTCTCAAGTGTTTGAAGCAAACTGTCAGCCATCACATCTGGGAGTACTTGAATATGCTCATTAGTAAGGCCTTTGTTCTTTAGTCTGTATTTGGGTGGTTAGTCCCCTCTGACACCATGCTTGCAAGAACTGTTTACATCTGTGATAACATCACAGTGCTCATTGTTCCTCTGCAGACCTTCCATGGGACCGCTATCTAATCTTTTCAGTAGCTGTTCCACAACAAAGGGATGTGTGATGTAAATCACTGTATGCTCCCATCCTTTTCACGCCACTTCACTACAGTGTCATATTTCTTATTCCGGCTCTTGTGTGTCCTTCACTTATTATTTAGTCTCCACATATATGATTGTCCAGTGTCTGTGTCCATTTATTATGAGCATCAGTACTTCAGATTCCAACAACTCAGTTTGTTGGCCTTCATTATTATACAGATTTCATATCAAGTCCCTTGGACAGATTTGGCATAGTCCTTTCATTGACTGAATAGCTATATGGCTACTGTTTTTATCCACTCTTGCTGTTCAGCATTATCTGCATGTAAGTTCCTTTAGCCATAGCTATATCCGATATTCCCTTGTCTTATACAATTTTCTCGCATCATTTTCCCCCAGTTTCTTCATTAACAAGACTTCTTTTCAGCCATGCTTACCACAGTCCCAGTTTACCTTGTAAATGAAGATCAGATACTTGGGTTTTCTTTGTTTTATGTATAGAGCCTTTGGGAAGAAGGTTCATGTGCAGATTGAGGTGGGTGTGTATGAAGGTACAAAGCTGACCTAAATGTGCCTGCCCACTCCACTTGGTGTCTGACTCCTACCCTCCAAGTCTACTGCCTCCCTCAGCAGGTGGCCTTTTATGGACTTTACAGTCTCATTAGATTTACAGGTGCTATTAGGGGTGCGGTAGGGTTCTTTTATACCATCACCTACTTATAGCTAGGTATCTGTTGGAGAGTCTTCCTCAGTTGGGGTTTTAGGTGAAGTAGTTCAGTGGCAGGGGGAAGAAGGCAGCCCTTTGGAAATTCTGCTGGAGTATAAATAATAACTAATGATTCACTCCGGCTGTCTGTTGCAGCTAGGGCTGCTTGCAGCGTGATGTGAACACTCACGGATGAAAATAAGATTGTTTTTTGCCAGGGGGTATAAATAGCAGGTGTTTAGAACTCCTTCATGTACAGGCATTCTTAGCATTTAGACTTGGCCTTTTGAAAGTTTACTAGCTTTGAATTTATTATGCCATTCTGACCAAGAACATGCAGGAAGTGCATGTACGTATAGCTTTATGCATACACAGATATTGAGGCTTATGTTTGTTTGTCAAGACTCTGAAATAAATGGCCTCCTCAGTGACTAACGTGCACAGTAACAGAAATGCGTAATAGATCACCTCAGACTGAAATGTTTCTGGCCCGAGTTTTTGACGACCAAATTTACTTAGGGAAAGTTTTCTGCTTTCATCCGCTGGGATGAAGACTCCACCTAAAGGAGGGTGAGAGAAGTGGTCTGGATTCCCTGGCTTGCCTTCCAAGAGTTGTCTAGACGCGTCTGCCTGGTGCAGCCTGGAAGAGCTGGAGGACTTGGCGGGTATGAAGGGAGAACCAAATATTAGTTGTCTGTCTGGGAGCAAGGGAGTGACTCTGCCAGTCATACAGGGACCAGCCTATCCCTCCGTCACAAGAATAACCCTTCATTCCCTATGTTTTGAAATAGATATCAAGACGACAGCTGTGAGAAAAGGCGATGAATATGTCATAAACGGTGGTAAGATGTGGACTACGTCCGGGTGCCAAGCGGACTGGATGTGCCTGCTGGCAAACACCAGTGAAGGACCTCCCCATCGAAATAAATCTCTCATATGTCTGCCAATGAATCTACCTGGTAATAACACAGAACTCTTTCTCTTCTAATTTGATTTTATCGGTGCTTTCGTGTATGCCCAATACAAGAAGGAAAGGTGTTTGACAGAAAGGACTGCACCCTTAAATGCTCTTCTGAGTTAGGTGTTTCACTGTCATACAAAGTTGGTTCTGAAATGCATTTGCACACTTCCACAAAAAAGTAGGGGACAAGAGGAAACAAGAAGGAAGTTAAATATTTTGCAGACTTCAGCTTGTGACTCCCAAATAATTTTATATGGAGAGTCCTTTTTGCCAAAAATAAATTTATAAAGGTTGTTCAGATACACTTGCGTGGGAATATTTCATAACCACCTGTGAGAATGAATAGACAAGTCATTGCCAAGGACAAAATTAATGCCTCAAAGAAATCACTAAAAATAGAGCCAACATTTTTTTTTTTAAGTTATAACATCCAGTGTCTTTCAGTTGTGGAGAAGTTTCAGAAAACTTTTATCTTGGTTTTCTGTCCCCAAAAGGCATGAAGATGCAAGCAGTCCGCAAAATAAATAACGTATTACTCTATTTACATAGATATTTGCTACATATGAACTATACATAAAATGTTCTTAAATTATCTTTCCAAAATAGCGTTAAACTCTTTCCTGTTTCGTATGAGGACTGGTGAACAGAATATATACTTCTTTTTTCAATGAATGGAGAAGAATTTTTAAGCTTGCTGTCTTATTTCTTCAGAAAATATTGAAAATGATTCTCAAACACGTGAAAGTAAAAGGATAAAGAGTTCAGAGATTTCAAACTTGGGAAGTATATGGGAAATACCTCCCAAAACAATCTTATCCCACATGCCAACACCTGCCTCCCAGGAGCCCATGGGCAGTATCTGACTCCGTTAGGGTGGGTTTACTGACCAGCTGTATTGAATATTAGAAGGATGCAATGCTGTGCTGTGATTGTATTGTGTGGATGGTTCTGATCTTCCTCCGATAACCGTCCTCCACCATCCAACCTGGTGGGCTTGCTGAAGAGAAGTGCAGGCATACCCAGGGTGCTTCATGGCTGTGCTCTGCAAAGGGATCTTTTTGCCAGGGTGCTACTATCATTATCAGTTTAAATTACAAAAATAGTCTGTGAGTTAAATGTGGGCTGGAGTGAAAGTTTCAAAGATCTTGGAAGTAGGGATTTGTTTCTGAAGACAACTAGTAATTTGGGTGAAGACACCGAAGAAATGCATCCTGATCTAAGGGTACAGGTTTCAGTGGTACAGTCCACACGGGTGGACCTGTTGTTAGGTCACACAGCCTATACACAGACCTTCTTTATCTGTAAATAGATAAAGGTAAATAGATTTTGAATAGAAAAATTGCCTGATTCACCTGAAGCTGATCTGCAGAAGTGTAGAAGTCGTCTTAGAAACAAAAATTGCACTTCTCAAAGTGTGTTTGCTTTCATTCTTCTGTGTGATACAGATTTTGACCTCCAAAAGGGTCACTGTACCAAGATTGGTGACCTTTTGAAATGAAGTATTAAGATGGTTGATTGTGCTCAGTGGGTGGGTTATATCAGAAGTGAGATTTTTCAGGAAGACAAAGAGGAAAAGTAGGAAAAAGGCTGCCATTTGACACAGATGTGAGGAGGAAGCTCCAGCTGTTTTCACACATCCTAAGGATGTCTGTCTGCCAAAGATTGTGCTCCTTGGAGGGCAGCAGACCAAGACTGTACGGGAAGTGTCTGGAGGACATTACCGAATGATGCACTATCAAGCGTCTGTAGATGCATGTGTGTCAAAGCTGGGGAATGAGTGTGTTATGTCTGACTAATCACTGCAGTCACCCACTGCAGTCCCCAGCCTATATGGCAGGGTAAGGAAGGGATCCGTGGCGCAGCGATAACTCATTCCTTGCTAGCAGCTGGAAGAACATGGGAGACCAGCCCGGCATTTTTTGCGAAAATCTTAATTGTTTCATACTGGTATAACGTGGTGATAAAAAACAGAAAAAAAAAAAGTTCCAAATCTGAAAGCGAATTATTAACTTCAACAACTGGTAGTTTATTGGAGATATGAAGTAGGATTTGCTTCTTCTAATTTTAGGTGTGTACAGTGGCTATGCTGGGGTGAGGCAATCATGGTCTAGATTTGACAGACACTGCTGAATACAATTCTCATAAAGGGAATTTGGATAACAGCAGTGTGGATTCACAGTAGATACCCAAATTAGGTGAATACTCCTCATACTAATGATGTCTTAAAAAAAAAAAAGCCAAATTTCTTGTATGATGAAAGAGAATCAAACAAGTCGTAAAATGTCTGTGTGCAAGATACATGGACAAATGGCTTGCAGCCCTAATCTGGTAACTATTTTTGCAGTGGTTTGTCTTCTGAGTCCTCAGATAGCACTAGGGTAGATTGCAAGGAGGAGATAATAAAGAGAAGAGCATCCAGGAAAGGGGAAAGAGCATGTTTCTCAGGTTGCAATTTAAAATGTGCCTCTTGCCATTTGTAATGGCACTAAAAGGTGTCAAGAGAGAGAGACTGCCTTTCTCTCAAGATAGAATATAGGAAATAAAAAGAGATTGTCAGAAGGCTGGAGGGGTGGGAGAAAATAAAAAATCAAAGACGCCAGGGAAGAACTGCCCAGGAAGAGATATAGCAATCCATCTCAGTGATACCGGTGCAAGTAGCTCAAATGGCTCCGTTAGAGTGATTACAGTAAGTCAGGCACTTGGCCTTGCTAGATTGAGATTTGTGTGTTATTGGATGGCTTGTGATTTATTTAATACAGACAAATTCCAGGAGTTATCTGGGCAGATGATTTCTACTGCAGCTGGTAATTTTTAGTGTATAGTACCCGTTATGAAGAGAATGAAGATAATTGAACTAAGTAAAGGAAGATTTTGGTGCCCATATTGTAGCCAAAGAGATGATTATGTATCATTGTCTTCAAAAAAGAGAAAATGTAAAGCGTGTGCTAGCAACAGAGGGGGCACTACATGAGGCTGATGCAGTTTGGCCTCCTTCAGAATGAGAAACATGAATTAATCTCAGAGCGAGTGAAACAGGTAAGGCACAACAAAGGGGGGATGCTGCTGGATTCAGGAAACATGAACACACCACCCAGTCTGGAAGAAGTATGGGTAGAAATCATTAACACATGTAGCTCCCCTAACCAAACCTCTAAGAGCATTCTCCAATAGTTGTTGTTGTATGTGGATCCAGGGAAGTACACAACAGAACTGATTTAGCAATATAAAGAACTGACAGCAGTTGTGCTTTTTCCAACAGAGTCCTTAGTAAACCACCCACTAACAAGAGCAGTAAGTGCATCTTTATATGGGTGAGGAGCAGTGATTGCATAAAACCAGCTGGAAGTAGACCAAAGACATGATCTCTGAGACTCTCAAAGAAACCAAGCAGTAATATTCCAACGAGAAAAGATGTTCCAGAAATCATTTGGGCCTGTAAATGGTTCAGTGTGTGTTTGTTTAGCTCCGATTTTAATACAGAAACAAACCACAAATGCTTTTTTGGCATGACTGGGTGCAGATTGCTGGATAATTTTCAGTCCAAGAGTCAAAAATTTTTATACAGCTGTCCTGATTTTCTTCCTGCATTGAACACATATCAAAGCAAGTATTCCTAACACATAATCTGTTTATAGATTGGCTGGTGGAGAAAAATCTTGAGTGGAAGGTGTGGAAGTCTATGTGGACCTTATTCGGAGAGCGGTCTTGGCATTTGGAAATAGTGTCAGTATTTCATCTCTGCAGAGAGATGAAACTTTCCATAACCTTATTCAATACAGCCAGAGAGAGTGAATTTGAAGGGAATGACTGCCAACTTCTTCTGCCTGCGAAACCAAAGTAATTTTCACATGGCTGAAGGCCTCCTGTCAGTAGAAGTTGAGATGTCTATATTAGTTCAGAAAGAGATGTTCACTGAAAGCCATGAAGGATAGCAAGGTACAAACAAGTATGGAGAGGGTCCACAACAATCTGTGCGGTGACCAGCTCCTACTAAGCCACGTTAGAGAGTAGTGGAGGATTGAAAAAAAAATAGAATAAAGAGGAAAATATTACCAGAATACCTCCGCATCACAAAACTGGTTAGAATACCATGTATGTGGGTAGCAAAGTGTTTGTTTTTCTGCGAAGACACATATGCTGATTTGGAGAACTGTTTTTCTGTGTATAATGACTTGGCAGATGTAATCAGCATGTGTTGCACAAACCCTCAGGCTTGGTTGTTGGCCTCAGTTTACCTCTGAAACAATCTTGACTTCCATCCTGAATATTCGCTTTAGCCCCAGAGCTACAAGGAGGTAAAAACTGAAGACAAGGGAATTGCCACAAAAAATCAGTGGATGTCTGTTAAACTCTCATGGCACAGTGGAAAGCTGTGCTTGCATCTGAACAATAGCAAGAAAGAACTTGTAGGTAGGAAAAAACAAACAACAGGAAGGAGTCCTACCTGGTGTGAGTAGATAGCTGAAGTCTTACGTGGCCAAACCTGAAGGAACCGGGTTCGTCTCCAACAGACCATTGCACGTGGGGTCAGTCAGTGCTGTGTAGGGAGGTCTGTGGGGAAGCAAACCCTCTTCACAAGCATGTCCGCGTGAAAACTCAGAGGAATGAATTGTGATCATTATGAACCCTTCTATGACTACTTAGATGAACTAACCGGTATTTTGTAGGCCATAAAATACATAGTTTTAACAAAATTTGGAGTTGATTTGGAGTTGTTGGATGTTTGTAGCAGTTATGAATTTGAGTCTAACTTTTTATTATTAGGAAAAAGCAGTGTGGTTTGACTATAAACTTTCTTCTACAGGTACCAGAAGAAATCAGGGTAGGCTAGAAAGGGGAGGATAAATGTGGAAGAGAGGAAAGGAAGAGGATTTCCAGGAGGAGAAATTCTCTAGTTGCAGCTTAAAACATAGCTCTGTTTTTGTCATTATTAAATATTTCTCTACTGTTTCACAGCAGTGCAGGAACTCAGCAAATACCACTAAATTGAATTCCATCATTTTATTGTAGTGCACTAAAAATCAAACATAAGCAAATAAATACTGCATTGTTTCAAGATGTGCATGAAGTAAGATTATGACTACCAGTAAGCAATTATTATTTGGGGACATAATGAAAAGTGGGACCTTTACAATTGCAGTTTCTGATTTGCTAGTTAAATAAAATGGAAAAACTCTTAAAAATAGGATGTGGGCCATTTTACTTTTAAATTCCAGAATACTGTTATGTTTTTCCTAAAGGTAGGTTTCACTGTAGTCTTGGCACATGCCTTCACATCTGCAAACTTCGCTTTCTTAAAATGTTGTACATAGTGCTTCTATTTTTTGTAGCCTTTCTAATACCCCTTTTTCTTCAGGCATTCATGTTGCTAAAAAGATAGACAAACTGGGCATGAGGTCGTCGGACACAGCTCAGATCTTTTTTGAAGACGTAAGAGTCCCCAGCAAAAACCTCATCGGTGAGGAAGGAAAGGGTTTTACGTATCAGATGTTGCAATTCCAAGAAGAGCGGCTGGGGGCAGTAGCCACTGGTAAGTCATCGCTTGTGCTTCTGGGGCCAGGCAGGGACAGAGGGGTCACCCTCTGCATGACTAACGGCACTTTCCCTTTATTGTAAATTGCAGTGACCTCTTACGATCTGTTTCTGAAATCTGTCATAGCCTGGATACGGACAACCTTCCCTTTCTGTAGAAAATCTTGAAATAGAAAATATTCTGTGAGGCATCACGGAGGCCGGTTTTGCCTTGTTTCTTTTTCTTGGTGCTTTTCTGCTGATAAGAAAATATGGCATCATGTTATGTCTGCTACAAATGTAGTACGAAGGCTATCAAAATACTGGCATGAAATAGAAGGTCGGTGACTTTTCCTGTAGTACAGTAAGCTATGATGTTTATCCTCGATTTTAGAAAATTAACTTAGCGGCTGTGTAAAGAAGTGGCTCTCACAGAATGTAAGAGCTTCGCTTTGCAGATCTGTTTTACGTCTGTGCACTTTGGACATAAGTGGTGCAGCACCAAATTCCTTTCCCTGAAGTTATGCTGTCACAGAGTTCCTCCGAACTCAGGCCATACACATTTTTGAGTTATACGGATTCTGGATATTCCAGGTAACCAGATCCAAGTCCGGATTGTCCATTTTCAGCCTCCCCACCTTACCCCCACACTGTTTGTTTCTTCAACTTAAATATAATGTGGTTCACTGTAAGAAGATTGGTCCTTTTTAAATTTCAGGGTTGTATAATTAATCTCACCATATTCGTGCTCCTGTGTGTACCCCGGCTGTTACTGTCTGTGTGTGGCTGGGGAATTGGGAACTCTAAGAAGTGATTTTCTGATTCAGTGACCAAGTAAAAAATCAATCCCTGTTGTGGGTTGATCCCAGACCAAGTATTTTAGAGTTCAGATGCTTTAAAAAATCTTTAGTTTGGGCCACAATTCTTAGTTCAGCCTGAGATAAATAGTAAATGTCAGAGTAGTTTCAGCAAGGAACAGGTGGTTAGACTTGCAAGGGATGCCACTGCAGACTCGGGCAAGGAGGAGACATGGTCCTGTTGCTGGTCCTGCTTTAATCGAGGCATACACAGACTGCAAGGACGTGCATTGGGCATTTTTATGCTCACTTTGAAGTCTAAGTTAAACAAAACAATCAGAAACTCTGGGTTGCAGTGATACTCCCCAGGCAGCAGAGCAGCCTGCGGCATTAGTCATGCCCCAGGCAAAAGTGACGCGCACTGACAGCATCAAAACACAAAGCCTGGCAGGTTAGATCACTCCTGTTAAAACCCCTGGCAGCTTGGTACTGTCCAGCCTTGCACAACTGCCTGGCAGTCACCGTGCTCTGCCAGGAAGTGGGACACCAGGTTTCAATTCTTCTTTTTGCCCAGGACAACCCAGCGGGAGCAGGCGAACCCTCGCCCTGGATGGGCAGTCTGGGAAGGGCATCTTCGCTCCCCCTGCCATGGCCAGGCAGGGGCCATTGGGGAGGAAGAGCCTTGGAGCTCACTTTAGGGACCGGTCCTGGCATCCTCGCTTTCACTGCTTCCTAAAACTTGGAAGAGGGAGTTGACTTCCATTCTTTTCTTTCTTTCCTTTTTGGCGTTGTTTTGTTTTGTTTTGTTGTGTTTGGGGGGTTTTGTTTTTTGGTTTTCTGTATTTTTACTGTCAAGTGTCATGTGCTCCAGCCTTCTCTCTGGTTATTAATTATCTTCTTCGTGGCCAGATTTCAGAACGTGTGGGGAATTTCCTTCCTTCTTCACCTTTTTTTTTTCCCCCCTTTTAAAATGAATTTTCAGTCAAACAGTTTTAAAATATGAATGGAAAACTTATTTCCTGGAATTGCAAAATTGGTCACAGGTGTGGTCTTCTCGTCCGAGTGACACGTTATCAAAGGCATTGGTAAAAGTCACTGTGTTTCTTGCTTCATTGAAAGAGAAGAGCTGCCACGTATCTCTCCCATGTTGTGACACTGGGTAAACACCATCCGTTTGTGGACCTGTTGCACTGATCACAGGAAAAGAATGTTGCTATGGCAAGAAAGCAAACAGTTTTTTTGTGAGTTGCTTAACTTAGAGGCAGAGGGAGTTCAGTGTGTGTGAGAGAGCAGAATGGCACTTTTCTAATGACTTCTATCTGCTCCTGTAGCCTCAGTTTTATGAGCACCATTGAGTCATGGCCGGTAAGCAGGATGACAGATCCTTTTGCATGGGCAATGCACGTCCTTAAGAGACAGATTGCTCAGCTTGGAGCTCACTGTACATCTCACTAGAGAGTGATCAGCCACAGCCTAAGAAAAATATATTGATTTCCTTTTGTTTTGAGAGGAGACGTAGCAAGGCAAAGTGTGTTTACAGTGAGCAGAAGTTTCAAGTGGAAAATTATAAGTTGGATGGAGGTACGAGGAAAAGATTATTCTGCATCTGGCAGCTTCAAGTGCTTTCACAATTCTCGGCTGTGCGGTAGACCATGCGTTCCTTAAGCTGTCCTAGAGTGGCATTTCCTGCATGTGCTGTCAGTTGAAACCTGGGGGGCCAAGTTTATCTGGGGATGTGGAGAACATTGTATGACAAAAGAGGAAACAAATATACAGGGGAGGTGGGGGGAAAGTTCAGAGAGGAAATGAGTTTCACTGTTAAGAATGGCATTTCTCTGTACTTACATGACTGACAAAGTATTGTGTGCTGTTATGTTATACAAGGCTGTTGGCAGTCATGGTATTGACGACGTGCTGCGTTTCGTTGCTGTTTGCTGCACAGCTAAGCTTTGCCATGTTAGAGCTATGCTCATAGGTCTAAATACCTGTAGTCATAGCATCACAGAATGGTTTGGGTTGGAAGGGACCTTTAAAGATCAGCGCGTCCAATCCCCCTGCCATGGCAGGGACATCTTTCACCTTGACCATGGGTTGGAAGGGACCTTTAAAGATCAGCGCGTCCAATCCCCCTGCCATGGCAGGGACATCTTTCACCTTGACCATCTAGATCAGGTTGCTCAAAGCCCCGTCCAACCTGACCTTGAACACTTCCAATGATGGGGCATCCACAACTTGTCTGGGCAACCTGTTCCAGTGTCTCAGCACCCTCATCATAAAGAATTTCTTAGAATCATAGAATGGTTTGGGTTGGAAGAGACCTTAAAGATCATCTAGTTTCGACCCCAAAACATTCTTCCTTATGTTCAATCTAAATCTACCCTCTTTCAATTTAGTCCTGTCCCTACAGGCTCTGGTAAAAAGTCTCTCTCCATCTTTCTTATAAGCCCCGTTTATATATTGAAAGGCCGCAACAAGTTCTCCCTGGAGCCTTCTCCTCTCCAGGCTGAACAACCCCAACTCTCTCAGCCTTTCTTCATAGGAGAGGTGTTCCTCTGACCATTTTCGTGGCCCTCCTCTGGACCCGCTCCAACAGGCCCATGTCTTTCTTTCGCTGTGGGCTCCAGAGCTGGGTGCAGTACTCCAGGTGGGGTCTCACCAGGGTGGAGTAGAGGGGGATCTGGTGGCCACACTTCTTTTGGTGCAGCCCAGGACTGCCCTTAGAAGATTTCCTTTGTTTATTTCTGTGTTCCAGGAATAAGCAGAAGGGTGGTGATGGCAGCTAAGGGAACAGGAGGATGGATCAGCTGGGGCAGGACTAGGAGGCAGTGGAGCAGAGAGGCAGACACTGCGAGAGCAGGTTTCTCAGGCCCCCCACTCCCAGTCCAGATGCGTGGTGACAGCCTGAGCAGAGATGGGCCAAAACCCCTTCATGATCTTCAGCCCTTTTGCAAGCAGGACCTAAATAGGTGCTGTTCTGCTCCTTCCCACCCAGTCCTGCTCCTGCCTCCCCTTTGGTGTTTCCCGTCTCTTCTTTCCATGGTCCTGGATGCTGGGAACCACACGAGCCACGCTGGAGCACCTTGCTCTGACAGACCAACACAAGACTAATCCCTTGTCCTTACCCCTCCCACCTCCCTTCTGCTCTCCTAGCACTGGAACGTACTGTTTAGTTTCCCTCCCGGCGGCTCAGACTCGGCTGTACGCTTCCCAGCTGTCAGTCTGGGGGCAAGGGACAAGAGGTGCCTACACACTTCTTGCTCTTTCTTTAGCATCTCTCAAGCCGGAGACCATAGACGTACAAGTGAAAAAGCCGTTAGCGTTATATGTGCTACAGTGTTGTGTTACACGGTCCTTTGGAAGAACTGGGAGGTTCCTCTGTACAAGAGATGTCCCTGAAAACAGCAATTTATTTTCCTGTCCAGAGAACCAGCATTAGGGTGGCAGCATAGTGTATTAACAGAGAAGAAATGAGGAAATTATTGTATATGCTCTTTTGAAAAATAAGCATTGAAGTTAGTTGTTTGAGAAAGGAGGGGAAAATATTTAAGGAATGAGAAAAGCTGATCACCTTACGGAATGTGGGGACAGCGTGTGAAAAACAGCACTCTGTGGAAGAGCTGGTGAATGGTCCTGGCAGGGGGCAATTGGTGGGATGCAGAGTCCGCATATGAAAGCAGTATAGGGATGACATTTAAATAGAGGTGATCTTGAAAGCGATGCAAAAAGGAATGTGGAAGCACACTAGGCTCCTGTAAGGAACTGTCATGTGAGTAACTAGCAGGTGGGAAAAGGGATTTTGTAGTAGTCCAGGGCTTGGTTGTATGTTGCATTTCAGATTCAGAGTTTTGTGGTTTAGATTCTAAATGTGAATAGGTGTGGATATGCATATTTTGAAAAGAGAAAATGTGACCCTTCTCGTACAGATGGATTTGTGAACTCTCTCCCTACTGCTTGCCATAGTGACATGGGTTCACATTTGCCAAACAAAATTCTCCACAGATTTAGCACCTGCTGTTATCCTAGCTAAGCTGCATGAGACCGATAGCCTAGCCCTTCACTTCAAGGCTGGTTTGCCTTGGAAACTTTTCTATTTTCTTCGTGTTTAAAACAGGGTATCTCTAAGTTTGCTCAAAAAGGAGCAGCGAACTAGTTCTCTTGCTTTAAAGCAGTGTCTGCCATCTCTCTCTGTCTTCCAGCAGTATCCTGTTTTGATTCTGCTTCTGTTAGAAGCACTGCTTAGCATTTACTAAAAGTGGCTGTGAATCTTAATGTTTTTCCCTTCCTTTCTGTACTGGGATCTGATCACAGAATGCAGATGTAGTAAGCAGTCTGTTAGTGTTCCTTGATCTCTGAATAGGTTTCTGCCTTCTCCCTGAAAGCTTCCTTGAATTTACCTTTCTAGAGCATTCCTCAGTGAGCACACTGTCTGCCTTCAGATTTTGTAACAGACCTTCAGGACACAGGGAGCATGGAAAGCAGGAGTTGCCACAAGCTTTTGCTAGGGCCCCTAATGAGGCATTAAGCATAAAGTTTACATATTCGTCATTACATACTGCTGTCTATGACTTTCCTTCCCTCCACCCCACACCCCTTCACTCTCCTCCAAGTTTTGGCAGTTTGGGGCTCAGGTGAAATAGCGGTAAAGAGGTCTTCAAGGTACAAGGAAATACCAGATTTTTTCCTGAATTGAAACTGCACCCCAAACTGAGCGCATGGAATAATTTACTTTAGAAAACCTAATGTATTGTTTGTACAATGTGAAAAAAACATTTTTTTTCAACAAGAAGAAAAACAACAGATCCGGCTAAAATGATGTCTTGTTCTGTGCTTTGCTTCTCCAAGTCCTGACACCACTGGAAACTATAATACAAGAAACTATTGACTACACTCGCCAGCGGAAAGTGTTTGACCAGACCGTCCTGCACAACCAAGCCGTGCACTTCCGCCTGGCCGAGCTGGCAACCGAAGTGGAGCTCCTTCGCTCGCTGCTGTACCGCACCGTAGGTGAGCCCCCACATCTGCCTTCCCAGGTGTGCTTCTCGTCATGCGAAGAACGTGGTCAGGCTAAAGGAACACGGGGAGGTGATTGCCAGAGAGGCAGGCTGTGATCAGTGACTGTGTGTATATAACGGTGCTTTTTTATTTCTTTCGGGTTTTTTTTAGCTCTCTATGTGGAAGGCAACGACATGACAAAATTTGCTTCCATGGCTAAGCTAAAGGCAGGTCGTCTGGCCCGTGAAGTGACTGATAGCTGTCTCCAGTTTTGGGGAGGAATGGGATTCACCAGCGAGGTTCTGGTGAGCAGGTTTTACCGGTAAGCAAGTGAATGGTGAAAATAGGAAATGGCTTTACTGAAATTTGGCCTCTTAAATGTCCTGCTAAAAGATCACCCCCTTGAACAGGGCACCAGCTCCTAGCCAGTGTGAATGGTACTGTTCCACTGAATGGCATGTCACTAATGTACCTTGTGGATGCAAGGGCATCCACAGTCCCATTGACTTCGGGGTGACCTGTGTGAGTGTCAGGACATAGGCTGACTATTCCTTTGCCAAATCTTGGCTTTGCATTACAACTGTGTAGTTTGAACTACCCACAGGTTAGCTTGAATGTCAGGTGAAAGAAGTGAACTCCATTCCCTGATGGTCCTCTGGTACCTGCCATACAATAGGACAATGGAAAAAAGGGGAAGCCTACCAACAAGCGATTTTTTTTTTCTCTTTGCTTTCTTTGCTTGTAGTCCTGATTACAAGAACAGAACTAAAACAAAACAGCAGCTTTCTTCCAAAACCAATGAAAATCAGCTTTATCTTTTTCCCCAAATATATGTGTGAAACTGGAGTTCACCATTAGGCTCCTGTGGTAGCCTTTTCTGATAGCAGTCTCCATCTGATTAGTGACAACAGATACTGTGTGAGATGTATGAGAGATGTAGCTGCTTCCAGCAAATTGTTAGATCATTAAAACGGTACAGAGGCCTTTTTGCAAATTAATTGAAGTCCCTTCAAATTTTACCATATATCTACTTAGAGCAAAATTCTCTCTAAGCAAACAGTTTTCTTGGCAGCTGTTAGGAAAATTCTGGCCCTGGTGTCTTATATTCTGTAGAAGCACCAAAATGGAACTTGCGTTTTCTTGCAGTAAGAGATTTCAGTTCAGCCCTTATATATACGATACCTAATCAAAGGTTAGCAAAATTCGTTAGTGGTTCAGTTAGTTGAAAGTTTTGGTAAATGTATCTGTGTATATGAGAGCAGAACACTTTAAAAAAAAAATCTGTAAAAAGCTTGTTTCTTTTTAGTAGGTTGAGTTACTTTTTCTATTTTTAATAGCATTTTATGAACAAGAATGCCACTGTGGTAAGTCAGAGAGATCCTTAACTTTTTTTGACTTGTGGATACCTGAAATTTTCTGGTGAAGGTACAGACAGCTGTATGGCGGTCGTTTTAAGCCAGCAGTCAATATGATGGTTTTTTGTAGTTATTTCTTTCACAGCCTCTTTATTAGCAGCTAATGGTCCCTGGTGATGCAGATGTTAAAAGCTACTGCAGTAGGCACTCTGAATAAAATGAATCCTTGTCTTGAAGAGCTTACTGTCAGTGTAGTAATGTGTACAGATTAATGTGTATGTGCTTTTATATAGCTTTGATTTGTCTTTAGATTTCCTAGCCCAGTATATTATTGCTAACTGTGGGCAGGGCATTTCTGTGTGAATTCCAGAGTGGTTTCTAAGTACACCAGCACAGTCACATTTTTCCTGAGAAGAGATCCAGAATATTTCCTATTGGTACAAACTGTGTCAGCTGGCTAAAGAAACATATCTTTCTGCCTCTAAAACAAACACTGTTATAAATGAGGCTAAAGGTGGATACTCTAAAATTTTTTGTGAATCAGTAAAATTCCATCATTGAGTAACCATAAGCTCCAGGAAGGGAGAAGTAGAGTATTACCTAAATAAACAATTACAGGTTCAAGTCAGAATCTTGTTAATCTGTAACGATAAGCAAAGCAGCAACTTTCCTAAAGCCATTCTTTTTCGTACAGCAGTCTGAGTAACCATGCACGTCACTGTGATATTTGTCAAGTAGCAAGCAGCGTAACTGCACAGCATGACATCTAGTCATAATGTACAACGATTTTTGTGGCATAATCCTTACCAAGTTTCCAAGGAAATGTTAGTCTTTGACACGTCGGGCTGTCACTCCTCCAAGAGCACACAGCATAATGCACGGTTAGTGCATGAAGTCTTTGAATTTTAGTTATTAGTGTTGGTGGGGAGATAATAAACAGACCTGGCACAAAACTGTCTGCCAAATGACTTTATTCACATCTGTCATTTTAATCATTAGTCTTTTAAACTTTGTAGAACAACTGACTTTTCTAAAGTGCAGTATTCTCTAGAAGGCCTAAAGATAGCTGCTTGTAAGTGCCTATACTGGGCTGATTTTATATACGTAAATGTCTCTTTCAGTTGTTGGAATTCTGAGAAGGAGAATGGGTTTGAAAAAAAGTTTTGAGCCCAAATATCGAAGGGTTTAATAGAAAAATACAAGCCAATATAACAAACAGTAAGAGTGGACTTTCCAGACTTTACCCTACTAGCAGGATTCTGGAGAAGGAGAGCGCCAGACTGGAGTTGTGTTTGTTTATTTTTCTCTCCCTGTGTGAAATGCCTGAAAGGCATCATGACTTAGGAAAAATCAATTATTGAACAACCCACAACCTATATGAAAACCCCAGGTTGTGAGAGATCAGAGGGAAGAAAACTTCTTGTAGCAAGTATATTGCAATTTTTCAGGCTTCATAACATGAGTTTTAAAAAATTTCAGGTATTGATCTATATATTTTAATAGTAAGTATGTACGCTTCAATTGGTACAGGAAGAACTTGTCTGGCCTTCTTTAAAAAGTTTTGTTTTTTTTTTTAAATTAGGATTGTTTCTAAGTACTAAACACTGTCTCTAACTGCTGCCGGTTCTTACAAGTTTTACTCTTGTGGGGCGTGATGGGGAGAATGCTACGTCTACAATTGATGTTTCAGGTGCACAGAGTTTCTGAATGAGAGGAAGCTCTTTGCAGGGAGTGTTTTGGGGGGCCAGAACACACCGGTTAGGATTGATCTCTTTCCTCAGGCAAACTCCCACTCTCCAAGGAAAACAGCATTCAACAAGTGGCTAGAGGTTCGGTCCCTCAAAATGACACCTCTCCGTAACTGTTCGGTGCATTGCATCGCAGGCCGGTTCCTCACCGGCCCTGATCGGGGTGAAGCCGCTGCAGGTCGGTGCCCCCCTGAGCGGGGCTGCAGGTAGTGCAGGACATGCTGCTCTCCCCTGGGCGCAGCGACTGCGGGATCGGAAAGCAAAGTGTTGCTGAGCCAGAACAAAAGCATCCCAGGGGTAGCCTACCTAAAGCAATACAATTCTAATATTTATATATATTGAAGTATTTATATGCTGTATTAATAATGCATTATTGGTATAATATAAACTGTCAAACCATAAACTTACAATGAACAGCTGATACACAAGCTTACTTTACTATGTCATCTTCTCCAGCTTCCTCACAGAGTTTCTGGCAGGATAGTTAGTCCCGTGGTTTTGTTTTCTTGCGCTGAAAGCAAGCCTCTTTGCCAGAAGAGGGCTGCTAGATTAACATCATTCGAGTCCTTTGTCATCTCGATCCTCTTAAACTAAGTGAAACCTTCCGTCCTGTCTCTGCGGGGAAGAGATGGGCATTAGTTGGCTGCCTGTAGATACTGGAGGAAATATTCCTTATCTCACCTATAGAGACAAAAATACTATCACCAGAGATTTTGTAAAGACACACACACACATGTGAAAGGTGTTTTTGGTTTTTTTAAAGATATATTTATATAATGGCTATGTAATAACCTGACATGTCTGTCACACACCACCAAAGCCAGATTTTACCACTGTCTATTTATAACTTCATATAATTTTTTTTCCTGCTGCAAATGGAGGGTTTTTATCAGCATTACAGAAGAGTTCTGAGGATTACTTACTTACTCTTGGTATTAATTACTTACTGTTGCTACAGTGCTGTGAGGATGCAAGATGCTAAGCATTGGCAGGGGCTTTCTGCAGCTTGAAAAAGCAGACAGCACCGCAGCACGAAGAACAAGTAACCTGCAATTGTTCCAGCTCTGCTGCCTTCAACAAGGCCTATAGGAAGGTGGGGAATCTTCAGGTGATTGAATTAAGTAGAGGTAGTTTAGCAGAACTGTTCCAGTGTTTTGGGATTTTTTTCTTCTCCCCAAAGGAGAAAAGAAATTTGTGAAGAAAATTGCTTAAGGTTGCAGTAGTTTGCAATCTGGCTAGCCCAGGGAACTTAGGCAATACTGTTAGGGGTGACTCAATGATATTAATGGCAGTTTTTAAATGAGTGCAATTAGAAATGTCAAATCGAAAGTAAATAAGCTTGGAGCAGCCATTCATTTTTAAAGCAGAGAAGCTTTGTATACTATACAATACTATACTATAATACCACGTAATACTAATACTACACTATAATACTATGTAATACTATACTATACTACTATATAATACTAATACGGATTATGCCAGATCTCACATAGCCATTAGGGGAGACCAGGATGCTTGTTGGTAAAAAAACTTCTCCGTGCAATTCTCCAATTACCAACACCTCAGGTACTGATTGACTAATACTCTTTTTACCACACAGTCAAGCAAAGTTAAGTGCTGCAACACTTTTTGCTGCTGGCCCTCCAAAAGCTCCTTCCCCTTCTAAAATTCAACTGCAGGCTTTGGCAAAGGAATAGCGGGGATGTTGCGGGAGGTATTGCAGACCATCTCACCAGGAGGAGGCAGCGGGTGAGGTGTTCCGCCGACAACTGGTGTTAGTATGTAACGTGTAGGTCACTGGAGCAGGCAGTCCAGCAGAAAACCCTGGGAAGAGCCTGTGATGGTTTATATGCCAGTCCAAAGGGATCAGACCTAAACAGAAGTCCCCATGGAGTTCAGCTGCAGGAGGTCTGGCTGGGCTTAAGTAGGGGGCAGTTGTATGCTAGGAGAGGTTTTAACTTATTTCAAGACGAAAATAACAGTGTTATGCCAAGTTAAGGTTAGTTTTGAAAGAATCTGAAAATTGGATGTGCCAAATTATTTCTTAAGCCTTTTGATTTTGAATTAGCAACATCCCTGTACACAAAAGGGTATTTACGGTGCTGACAACACATTTGTCCACATGTATGTACTTCTGTAAACAAGGGGTTTCAATGTAATAAAAGCAGCTCCATAATAAATGCATAGAATAAATGGGTATGTACAATTCTGTACTTGTTCCATCAGTATAGCATGCAAATGTTTAAATCTACTCCTTATATTTCTACAGAGACTTGAGATTATTGTCAATAGGAGGTGGTACAGATGAAACCATGCTTTCCATCATCTGCAAATACATGGAAACACTTCCAAGCAAGTGATGCATCTCCACTCTTCCTTGAAAATTAAGCAAGCAAGAGCATGGTTTGCACTGCACACTGAAGGGTAAAATGGGTAGAAAACATAACAGTAATTTTGCCAATGAACTGCTTATCAGGGTCTTTGACCATTATCATTCTGTGTGTTCTCCAATATCAAATTTCTGTTGATACAAAGCAGTCTGAAAGCACGTGGCCTCCTGCAAATTTTTTTCTTTTTTTTCACTGGATTACTTTTGAGGAGTGGGGTCTAGTGATCCACACTAAGCACCCAGAAAAAATGTCATCTTTAATCAAGGTATATCTATATTTTGGAGCATCTAAGCCACCAATTAAGAAACATAACTTCCATATGGACACAGCTACGATTTCACTAGTAGCCTAATCTAATTTCAGTGTAACTTTGCTTTCAAGGTCAATAATTATTGGCACAAATTATTCCTTTCCATATTCAAATACTGGAACAATGATTTTGCTCTCAATTACAAGTACCTTCCCTGTCTTTCAATTTTAGCAAGTAATCATCAAAGTGAGCTCAAGTGCACATCGACTTTTGCTACACTCTGTCATGGGTATTTGGTGGTGGGAGTGGGGGTTGATTTTTATTTGTAGAATTCTACAAACAACTGTTTAATTGTATCTGAAGCTTTTGGAGGCCTGAACTTCAGCCGTAACGTTATCATGTTTTGTGTGCAATTATGACAGAAAAATACTTAAAAAAAAAAACTTAATATGGAAGTTGTGTGTTATTACTTAAATGAGATGGTACAACTTGTTATATGCCACAGTCACCTTAAACTAGAAGTGTGTACTAAGTATTTTCAAAATTACTGTGATTTGTTAACACAAAAAGTCTCACTGAAATGTACATCTGCTATGATAAGCATAAATTCTTAATTTGATCTTCTTTAGATCTTATGCTTTACGTTTACTTGCATATCAGCCATACTTTCAAAACCAACATCAGCAACTCTTTCTCAAACAGCCATGTAAGTCAGAAGAGACAACCTGCCTTATTGCAAAAAAATGCTTCAGTGGACTTTTCCTTGTAACCAACAGATGCGTTAAGCATTTTCTAAGGAACTTGCATGATACCGTAAGGTTAACAGTTTGATAGTTAAAAGATGATATTTTCTTCCACCTGGAAATAATCTGTATGGTTGCTAGGTAGAGTTTAAATTACACTAAATTGAGAAACACAATATATAAATATCATGTAAAAATTATGTACAAGATTTCAAAACCAAGAATAAACATAACTGCACTATTCCTATGCAGCTATTAACTGCAACTTTGTAAAAGTACAATTAAATGCTACTAGTATTTTTCTATCATATCCAATGTATAGTGTATTTTATTCTACAAGATCATACTATAGCATCCTGAAATCTTGGTAACTATTTTTGGATTTTAAGGACTGTCAGAGTAATACTTTTCTACCAGAAAATTACCAGTAAACTAAGTGCAAATGTTGAGGAAAATTCTGACGCTGCAATGCATGGTGCCTACCAATTGCCATTCCCCTTCCCAAGTGAAATATTCTCAAAGCAGTTTCACCTTTACGTAAATCGCCTTAACTATTCTAAGCAAACTTGCAGGATTTCTGTTCAGATTTTTAAACTGAAAATTGACCTTTTAGTGGAAGGGAAGAAAGGGAAATGTGCTACATTCTGTACTTGCTCCAAAAGTAAAATAACATAAAAACATACAGAAATATGTCACAGTTTTGACTATGTAACTTTCCATTACCTTTCAGTTCAGAAAGAGCCTAACAGAGTTGTGTTTTAGCAGTTAATTAAAAAAGCCCTTGTGTGTTTTCTAATAAACATTGAGATTTAGAAGGTTGTTTGGTGGCTTCATATATTCCTTGTGTTTAAGCTTTCTCCCCGTGTCCTGCCCTATCTAGACAACTACAAAAAAAATAGCAACCCTCCCTAAATGAAGAAAAGAAGACATAGGCTTAAGGTTCCCCACCCAATTAATTTCCCCTCATTCCTCTGCACCACTAAAGAATGGGGAGGATCAGGGGAAGAGGCAGGGGAGGAAGACAACCTAGTTCCTATTCTGCATTAATCACCTTTTAATCTGGTTTGACATTTAAAATGAAAATCCTGCTGGTTTCATAAATGATCTGAACGACTGGTAAAAGATTTTTACCAGTATGTAGCTCTGTCAAGACTTAAGGGACTTCCTAGCATATTTTTCAGTACAAAGATAGGAAATGTTATCAGCCATATAACTAGCTGCATCCACCCATTTTTCTACTTTATATTAGGTAGTTAAAAACTTTTTCCATTTATTGGCAGATTGATTGCTAAAAAAAAATAAAAGTCTAGAAATTGTTCAGACACCATGTTTAAGAGCCAGAAATACATTTCTAGAAGATGATCAACTATCAGGAGAGTGTGGTTGTCAAACAGGTATGTCAGTAATTATCATCTTGCACTCCACTGTCTCATTAAAATTATACAAGTGCATCAATTTTGGATGGCACACTATATCCTATTGATTAGCTTTGGAAATGCTATACTTGTTTAACAAGCCTAGCAATTCTTATATAAAGACAATGCATTGTCCTGGTGTTAGTACTTAGATGTTCTGTTATTTGTAGAAGAGTATTGTAGACCTTTTAACAGTCAAAGATTAAATGGGCTAGAAATATTTGAGCTTTAATTACTTTTATCTAATATAAAACACACAGAATGTATAAGTGTCACAGTTCTGTTATATATGAAATCTAACATGAAAGCAATGTAGCATACGCCTCCATTTCTCACTTTAATAGTGCTCCCCACACAAGTATAGGCCCTTAAATGCAGCACCATTTCCAAAAAATACATTGGTATTCTACAGTAGAAAAGAATGTATATAAAGAACACTAGCTAGAATACTACAGAACACTTTATTTGTCAGCTTGTAATTAGTTATTAATGGCAATATGCTATACATTATTTCTAGAAAAGTTTTTCAAAAATTGTAGATACCACTTCAGTATCTAGGAAACTTAATTTTTTGAATGTTAAACTCAGCAATGTAATAGCTTCAACTATTAGAAACTATTTGGTGAACCGAAGCTAAGTCTTCAAAATAAAAAACCTTAATATGACAGCACCTCCAACAGGTGCATCATAATATACTTTAATATAAAATTCAATATATCTGACCTCATATTTCAGACATCATGCAATGTAGATTTAGGGATCATCACAGATTGAAAAGTAAACATACTAATGGTAAAAGTTCTAGTGATTCAATGGAATCATTAAGTTTTAGATACTTTAAATATAAAGAAAACATTTGTACTGTGTCCATATTGGTTGATCCCAATGATCAAAGGCATTTGCTTAAAAGAGTAGATGTGTAAGCATGATTTGTCACATTTAAATTAAAAAAAATCCAGTTTTAAGTAACTTCTCCCCAAAACACACAGTTTAAGCTACTTATACACTATCAGACCTATCCACAAAAATAATTTTTGGGGGTACCACTATTACATTTGTTAGCTTCAGGCCAGCCTTTTAAAAATCCACAGATAAAACCAATTCAGAAAGATCCAAGTATCCTTCATGCTTTTGCGACCTAGAAATTACTATATGCCTGAAACTGGAGCTCTAATTTAGAGCATGGCACAGAATGAAATGCAGAAAGAGAAAGCCTTGTAATGCTGCAATTACTTCATATCCGAACAACCGTTGTTTTCTGTATTTTTTAAACCAATTCTAAAAACTATTTTCCCCTAAAAAAGCAACCTACTGTGCTAGCAGTTTCTGCATATTTACAAATAATCCCCCCAAAACAGGGGATGATGGGAGAAATTCTGATACATTAAGAAAACTATATATAACGTGGCATTAATAGTTAATGCAATTTACAACAATTTCACTGTGTTTTATCAACAGAATATGCCACTTCAGATCAGTGTCTTCATTAATTAAGACTGCTTTATAGTTGAAATTACACAATTTAAACCAAAGGTAACAAGCATCACCTCAGTTTAATAATCCAGTATATTACAAAAAAAACAAACAATGAAAAGAGCATCATGTAGCATAATAGCTTTGTCTGGCTTCCTCTGGAGAGTGTTCTCAGTCTGCCCATAGTTGCACCTAGAAGTCCACCCGTAGAGTCAAAATCATTATCCTACATTTAAAAACAAACAACAAAAAACATGTTACTCTGAGAAAAAAAGATTACCCCTAAAGCTTGCTAAGTGTAGTTTTTCCTGTTTTTTTCAAATTTTCCAAAACTAAAATTATTTCAGAGGCAGTTTCTGAAAATTAACCAGGAAAAACTTTCACCCATTTATCCAGATGGATGCAAGCAAAAAAGGGATTTCTGACTTCCTTATTTTTTGCTTCCCTCTCCTATTCTTAAATACATTTAAATACAGAACTGCCTTTTTAATAATACTATACATTTGCTAATTGAAAACAAATAGTTGTATCTGAAGTATAAAGACCCTGGTTGTGCTTTGGGAAGTAATGCATTTGCACATCTATCTTTTTGAATGGAAATATTGCTGCTGAATTAGTCACATTTTACAGTCAACAATAAGCTTTCAACATTTTAATACAAATGTTCACACTAAAAGAATGCTTTACGTTACTAACTTCTTAATTCTGCCCCATATTTAAAGAAACACTTACCATTTCTGATAACATTTTATTTTGGTTTTTAACTTCTGTTCCAATTTCAATGGAAAGCTAAAAAAAAAAAACAAACAACAAAAAGTATTCAATATGAGTAATCAGTAACACAGATTAGAGAAACCAGTCTAAAATATGTGACGTGACTAGCATTTCCCCAGGTAAAAAGTGAAAACAGTACCTGGTATTTTCAAAAAACAAAACAACACGCACAGTATGCTGTCAATAACCCTTAGGAAAGTAAATATTTGTCATTTGACTAGATGAGTCTAGAGAGTCATAGAAGGTACTCAGTGCTCCTCCTCCCCTTTTCTCCTTGAACAGATAATTCCTTATTAGAATTATTGCACGGACTTT